ATAAGAGCGCGGCCACCTAATTCCTGTACTGGCCAACATATATCATCATTTAATCATAATTCTAAGTTGCTTACTGCTTAATTTCATTCCGGTTTTATATTTCAAAGCCATAAAATATGCTTTAAATTTAAATTTAACACAAATTTATTGCGTATACGCAATGTTCACATTGTTAAGAGCTGCTTTGATTACGAGAATTTTCGGTGGAGCGGACTATCTAGATTCATTACCAGAACATACTCCACAGAGACAATAAATTGTTAAAGCCATTCAGTTGTGCCCGATACCCAGTAGATCGATTTGTGAAAGAGGGTAAGCTATGCTAGCAATATCTGAAAGTAATACAAAAGTTGACAATGATATGAATGGTAATTGGTAATTGAAATTGGTAAGAACTAAAAATAACATTGGGAATGCCAAAAATGAAGATAATATTCATATTGATGATATTGATTAATGATAAAATAGATGGAAATGATTAATGGATAAATTGATAATTATAATGAAAGTTAATGATATTTAAAAAATAGAATAGATGATAGCTTTATTATGATAATATTACTGATGTAAATGACAATAATAATTAGATTCACAATGCGAATAATAGTGATCAGAGTTATGAAAGAACTAAGTCTTATATTATTAATTCTTTATCTACATACCTCACTTTACAGGGTATCTGCACGTCAATCATTCGCGCCTGTTCCAAGCCAACAATCGGCAATCAAAAGTGAATAAAAGTGAGCACACATGTAATTTAGTTTTTATTCAATTTATTTCATATTTCCGTTCGTGTTCATTGTTATTATATTAGTATTATATTTATTTATTCCATCTATGTTAATATAGTGTGTAGTAAAGCTTGACAATCTATACCAAAGAATAATGCTATCTTCATGTATGTGAGTTATACATACATACATATACATATATTTATTTATATAGATTTATTTATATAGTATATATATATATGTGTGTTCTTTCATTTTTCAGTTTTTGGCAATATTTTGTCATGTTCTCTCTATGTGTGTGAATCATGATTTTGTTCTTGTTTATATTTTTTTATATTTTCTTATTCAATTTTATTTTTTTGTAGTGTTTTTTGAAATGTGATCAAAATATTTGAAGTCGTGTCTAATGTGTAAATGCATTCATATTTTGTAATTTGGCTAGAATTTGGAGTTGAAATACAAAGATTTGATCAATTTTTTTCTTGTTGTTTTTCTTTTTTCCTTTTTCATTTACGTAATTCGAGCATCGAGCGACATTTGCAAAGGTAAAAATATTGTACTACAATTTTGCAATTTGAATTTATTTGCTGTAAGTTGAATTTCCTCATTTTTCTTTATTTTTATTTTTGTAATTCATTTTCCTTTCTGTTGCATTCTGCATTCTGCATGTTTGCGTTTTGTTTGTGTAATTGCATGCAACGTGGGAGTTCAGAGTGTGCACTAGAGATGAGAGGGCAGCGTGACACGACTGGTGTGAGAGAGTGACCGATATGAGTCGTAAAATGTGGAGCATTATTAATGTAAATTAGAATTAAATTGAAGGCAGAAAATTAGACGTTAATTAGAATTCAATGTAACTTTAAAAGGTCTTAGAAAAGTTTTTTTTTTTTTGTCTAATGTCTGAAGCAATAAATGAAACTATATATAAAGTAATCTTAAAAGATCTCAGAAAAACATTTTTTGAACTTGTAATAATTGGAGAATATTAAAAAATATTCCATAGAAATATTTTCTGTTTATCTTATCTAAAGTCTGGAATAACCATAAATGCAGCAGCTAAATTATAAATGTTTACGTAAAAAAATGTATCTTATATAATACTAAAATAAATTAAATATATAAAAATTGTATAAATATATTTGAAATATTTTACAAAAACCTTTTATTTATATATAGTAATTGAAAATATTTACATATTTCTATCTTAAAGAAATCTTAAAAATAAATTAATTAATGGTAAACTGATATACTCTTCTATCCAAATATAATTGTGGGTCATATTCGGTTCAGCTTTCCGAGTGCGCTTTATTGCCTAGGTTCTCGTGTCTAGCCGCATGCCCTCGTGCTTAGGCTACCTCCTTATAAGCGTTACGCGCTCATCTCTAGTGTGCAGCTCATTGGCCTTCAATGTGCTCGTATACGCATTGTGTTGTTGAGCTGATTCCATTTGACTATATAGAAGGGTATTTGCTGTATATGTATATATGTATGTATGTGCGCTGAGCGAACTAAGAACGTAATTAAAACTATATTTGTAGCATACGCAATGCCCCTCTCTGTGTGTGTGAGTGTGTGTGTGTATTTGAATGTTGACGTTTACGGAGTTTAGCTGCGTTTGACTGTTCTGTTTGCATTCTGGTGGTTAGCAACACTTTTTAATTAGTTGAAACGATTTCAAGGAACGGGGGGGTAATACAAATCTTTGCTTTTACAAACTCAGCTCAGCTATATGTATACATACTATATACACAGTCATGCAAGTAAAATAGTAAATAAATGTATTTGTATGTGATGTGAACCAAAAGCTAAATATCAGTTCCATGCCTTATAGAGCCACAACAACAATCTGAAGCAAAAACCAAATACTATATATTTGTATATGGTAAAATAAAAAATCTCTCAGCTATACACAGAGCTTATACAATACTATATACGTGCAGCAGCTATATGTATATATGTATATATAAATATATATGTATTTATTTTTTGAAGCTTATCGAGCATCTATGAGAAGGGAAAAAATTCGCTATTTACTGACATTTATCGCTATTGATTTTTACTCATTTATTATATTATAATTCCTATTATTCTTATATGATTAATTTTTTTTTGTTTTGCATTTAATGAGCAATTGTTTGTTTTTCCCATCAAAAATCAAAAATCCATTTGAGCATTTTCCCATAAAATACAAAAAAATAAATGGGGGGAGTCATTATGTGTGTGTGTTTGGTTTTTGGAGCTGTGTAAATATTTGCTTGCATAGTATATGTATATGTATTGCCTTCTATTATTTATTAAAGATTTTGTTCATTTAATTTCAATACTCGCTTATGTCGTTGAATAGGGTAGATTGGCTTTCGGAATAAATATTCGATTAAAACATTTACAGAAAATCTGGGACAAGTTTTCAATTCATTCGGTGAAACTGGAATTAGGTTTTATACTTGGCTTGGTGAATCGGAACACATTTATTTGGCACTACTTCTAGTAGTTGAACGTAAGCGAGTATTATGTAGTCGAGCAGGCCGACAGCATTATTTATTAATTCTTCTTTTTTTGCATTATTTGCATTTGCCTTTTGGGAGTAAGTAAATCCGCATTACAATTACCTTTACATATTTAAACAACAGTTGCACTATATAAATATACATACAGTTATATATACATATATAGTATGTGGCATTCAGCTGATTTTTTTTTGGCTTTTGTTCTTTTACGCTCTTACGATTAGGGTTTAAATTTATAATTTACATTTACTTTATCAAGCTCGAGTTGTAAACATTCTACACAAAAATCATCCTGCTGCCTTTGTTTTTTAGTTACGGATTCCTACTCTATACGAATATATATATGGAAGATATACATACATATATAATATGATTTACACCCATGCATATTCCATTAGAGATCGTAAAATTGTTTAGTTTTCAACTAGTTTGGATTTAATTTTTTTAGAGATTTATTTTTTTTTTTTTTTTTTAATTTGCATTTATCTATGTACAATATATATTTTTAAAAATGTATTAAAAACAGATAAAATAAATTTTAAAATATTATGCAACAGTCAAAATGCATTCAGCTGGTATAAAAACTCACTTTTTGGAGTCAATTAAATAACGAAATCTTTTTATTACCTAGCTCAACATTTGCATTAGATATTTTTAGCTATTTTGCATTTAGCCTCTAGGTTTTAGCTTTTTTATAGCTGACTTTGAGCATATTCTAACAGATTTCTTGGCATTTACAGTTCTATATTTCAGTTGATAAACTATTTGGCAACTAATTTAAAACATTTGGAAGTTAATTTAATAAAATGTATTGACAAATAAACGTTAGAATTTTTTTTAACAAGTGTTATAAATTCAATTCATAATTCAATTAAATGTGAAATGATAATTTAAACAGCTTTCAGCTTTTCCATACACATATAAAAAGGCCATTAAAATAAGCTAGAAAAGTGTATTTATATATATTATTCATATTTTGAAATTTGTTTTGCATCTGCAATCAGTAATAAATAAAGTGTGCAAATAAAAGGGAAAGTTTGTTGCATAGTGTAAGCCGAGCTTACAATTGTTTCGTGCCAATCATATAAAATAATAATTCATAAACAAAACTAAAACTGAACAAGTTCTACGAGATAGAGGTACGCAATTGTTTTTGGCTTTTTGCTTTTATTTATTTTGTTTTTGATTTTTGGAAGAGCTAGAAACTAAGTTTACGTATGTATGTGTGTGTGTATATTTGATTTCTTTTTTTTTTTTTTTTTTTGATCTAAATGTGCTGATGTTGAATTGTTAAAAGCATTAACGTTTAAAACAGAGCTTTAAAACATTTTCTTTTTCTTTTTTGGCAACTTTCGTTTTCCTATTGAGCTGAGCGCATTTAAAATCAATGAATAAATATTTTTGATTTTATAAAATTTCTAAAAAATTTGTCTACTATGTACATAAAATGAATGAAGGTAAATTAAAATATTTATATATTTAATACATAGATGTATGCTATGGGCATGACTAAAAAGTATATATGTGTATATATGTACGTATATTTAGAAAATAGTTAATTATAAATGTATATATGTATATTTATCAGGTTTAATACTTGGGGATAGGGAAACTATAATATCTATATATAGTGGATTATACAATGAGCAAACAAATTACTAACTTTATATTGACTATATCCATATAAGTATATCTACAGATATATGCTTTATACATACGAATTTTGTACAACTTATGGAATTAAGTCTTTGGTCTAGCATTGTTTTTTTTTTTTTTTTTCTTTTTCGATTTACCAAATTAGACAAACTACGCTCGATTTATGACAAATGCCACTGGAAACATTTCGAATCATCGTTTGCCATTCGCCCCGTCAATCAGCCAATCAACTGTAAAATACAAATTTTGTTGTGGTAATTGGCATTCGGGGTTAATGGCAAAGCTGTTCAGTGGATTGCATCTAAAATTTAGGAATGGGTTACCATGGATTCTATATGTGTTTCGTTTTTACATCTAATTAGACTACATTTCGTTTTCATTTGTTTTGCTTTTCTTGTTCTTAGCTTGCGAGAGCTTTACTAAATCATTATACATTTCATTATACATTCTCATATTCTCGAAAGATTTCTTTTGATTCTACATAAATTGCTCTTGGATTCGCATTCGCGCTTTCTGCTTTGAATGGGCTCTGCGACAGTCAATAGATTGTTAATTTTTCAGTTATTTTATTTATATTATATAGATTAAAATGTTACTTGAGAAGAATTTGGCTGATATGAAACAAAACGATTGCCACAGTGGAGTTTTTTTTTTTCCTATTCGTGTTTTTGCTTGCGCTGTGAGCTCTGATTGAATTCGGTTTTGCAGCACAATCTATTGACCGACAGAGGGCGCTAGCCAGCCAGGCTGCTGCTAGCGGGCAACGAAACTATTGGCCGACAGGTGGCGCGCTTTACACCTGTGTGCCATAATACTAGAGGGAGACAAACTCGCCAGCCCCCTCGCCGGCACCAGCTCCAGCATTGCCCTTCTCCATGCCCGGCGCCGGCTCCGTCGTTTGCAGCTGATGATGATGATGCTGATGATGCTGCTGATGATGCTGCTGATGCTGATGATCCTGGGCCGTTGTCTCCGCCTCTGTCATGTTGGCATCGGCCGTCGTTTCGCTGAATAGAGTCTCGTTCTCGTCTGGCAGCGACAGCGTCGAGTTGCCCAGCCCGCCGCTGGCCGTGATGCGGCGTCCCATATTATCGTATTTGGGATAGGCGGAGCTGTCACGCAACGGAGTCGCCTCCACAATGGGTGGCGTGCTGCAGGCGGATGTGGGCGCATTGTTGATACAGCTGGCGCAATTCGCAGCGGACATGGTTGGCGCTGCTGCTGCCGCGGCCGCCGCCGCTGCCGTTGCCGTGGGATGATGGCACTGCACCACGGCGGTGACAGCCGGCGGCGGCGGCGGTGGTGGCAGCGGCAGCTCCATGTCACCATTGCCCCCACCGCCACAATGATAGCCGCCCGCCTCCAGATTGTACGTAACGATCTCGTCATGGGGATAGAGATTTGTGGCAGCTGTTGCTGCTGCAGCTGCCCCCGGCTGCAGCGAGGAGTCCTTCTTCAGTATGCCACGGCGGGCCGTGTGCCGCGGCAGTGTGGCAAATTGGGCCACACTTTGGCCATCGCTGGTGGTGCTGCTGCTGCTGCCCGCACCGCTGCCATCCGCCGAGCACTGGACATCCTGCAGACGCTTGGGTATGTTGAGCAGATCTGGATACATGTTGATGTCGGCGCCGTCGAGCATGTCCTGGGTGACGGAGACGCGTATGAATATGTTGCCAAAGGTGGGATTTGGCACAATATTGGAGCAGAACTCCGGCGGCGGTGGGAAGACGCCCACATTCAGTGGAAACTCCTCCGACATCTGGCCATGGCCGTGCGAATGGGAGTGCGAGTGCAGTTGATGCGGATGCTGGTGCTGATGCTGATGCTGGTAGCCGGCCATTGAGGTGGGCACACTGATCAGTCCGCAGGTGGGATCCTTGACGGTCATCAGCTGCTGCCGCATATGCTGACCAGCCTGACCCTGCTGATGCTGCTGCTGCTGGTGCTGTTGCTGCTGTTGTTGTTGTTGCTGCTGCTGTTGCTGCTGCTGGCTCAAGCCCGTGCGATGCGCCTCCACGGCATGGATCTCGATCTGATTGAAGCCGAGCGTGGAGTCCGTCTTGTTGATCGAGCTGGGATTGTTGTCAATGCCATAGCTGTCGCCGCGGTCGTTCGTTGTCGTCGTCACACTCGAGTCCAGCAGCTTCTTCTCCTGGTCATTGAAGCTGACGCTCGACTTGACGCCCGCCTTGTTGGCATGCCGATGCTGGCGCGTCGTGCGCTTGCACAGGCAGACCACGAACGAGATGGCGATGAGCAGGAAGACGGTGCCGAAGATGCCCATGATGAGCCCGAAGTACCAGAAGGTCTCCGGCGTCTTCACCAGCACGTGCTGGACAATCTCGCTCAAATAGATGCTAATGTTTTGGGTCATCGATCCGATCAGATTGGTGCCCGTGCAGGCGTAGGTGCCCGCATCCAGGCTGCTCACATTGAACACGGTCAGGTTGCTCCACAGCTTGTCGGACGTGATGCTCTCCGTGTCGAAGAGCACGTTGTCGTTGTCCAGGATCTTGCCATTCAGCTCCCAGCTCACCTCGGGCAGTGGATCGCCGTAGACCAGGCAGCTGAATGTCGTATTGCTGCCAATGTCGATGTTCGTTGCCTCCTCATTGTTGAAGATCTCCACGCGGGGCGGGCAGCCAAAGAGCTCATCGTCCACACTGTCCCAGGTGCGATCCTTTTGCGCCGGCGGACCCTTGCACACCAGGCTCACGGAGCTCAGCCGGCTGCCCACATACCAGTTGCGGAACTTACGCAGCTTGCAATTGCACTGCCAGGGGTTCTCCTCCAGGGAGAGGGTCTTCAAATTGCCCATGTGCTGGAACACGTACTCGCTGAGGCTCTCCAGCAGATTGTTCTTGAGATTGAGAAACTCGAGCAGATTGAGATTTGCCAGCGACATGGGATCTATGTACGAGATCAGGCAGTCGTGCATGTCCAGGGTGCGCAGATGCGGCAATATGGGAAACTGATAGGCGGACAGCCGCTTGAGGGGATTCCCATTCAAGTAGAGTATGCGCAGCCTATCGTTGCCCATAAACGTGTCCTTGTCGAGCATCTCCAGCTTATTGTCCGACAGATCAATCTCCACGAGTATCTTCAGGTTGCGAAAACTCTCCTTGTGTATGTATTGGACCTCGGATTTCTTCAGATAGATGCGCTGCAGGTTGAGCAGACCCAGCGCCGAGAACTCCTCCCGATTCAGATATGGTATGTGATTATCATTGAGCACCAGCACCTGTAGCTCAGTGCTCAGCGTGTTCGGTATGCTCGTCAGCTGCAGCGAGCTGCATATGGCTGACTTTTTGCCATTCGTCCACTTGCATGTGCAGTTCGAGGCGCAACTCTGCGACCAGTCATCCGCCCACACCCAGCCGACCAGGCAGGTGAGGCACAGGAGCCAAAGCAGCTGCTGCCAGCCTGCAAAGGAAAAAACTGTGTGATGAGAGAGAGCATCGGTGGGGGAGTGATGGCAGAGAGACAGAGAGTGAGAGAGAGTGAGAGAGAGAGAGAGAGAGAGAGAGAGAGAAAGAGCGAGAGAGAGAGTGGGAGAGAACGATGACAAAGATAAATTTAAAGCGAAATACATACAGAAAAGTAATAATTTATTAACTTTGGCTAGACGAAGAATTAATACCCTTTAATATCATATTGTAAATATGTTAAAAAAAAAAACATGTTATCCCATTTTCGATGGGTTCATTTTATAATAAATATTCCTGCCTAGCCTATTTAAGATATCTTGAAATATGGGTATTTGAGTTTCAACATGAGCAATTGAATATCTTAGTAATTATTCCTCTGCCTGCCAATCTATTCACTCTAATGTGATTTAAGATTAAAGAACCGTTAGGACATGTTGCTTACATAGTATATTATATTTGACTTTGCTGTGACTTTGCCAAATTATTAAGATAAACTTGCTGCTCTAATGGTGCGAAACTATGGCTTAAATTCCCAGACATTTGATTTATTTACGAAATAAAATTAATTTTATTAGCTACAGCTATAAAGACATTGGCATGTCTAGAGACGGAAAACTTTTAAACAATAATGTTAAATATATATATACATACATATGTTTATTACATTAATAAATATTTATATGTATTACTGGGTTTGTAGTTAGAATAAATAAAATCTCTTATTAAGCAGAAAAGTCTTGTAGAAACAATATTCATACGAAGAGATTATCTTATAAGTGAGCAAGCAGACAATTGTCTGTCGATTGTCTCAAGCTCATTTATATAAATACATATATATATAAATATAATTATATATATATATATAGGTATATGTATATACAAACATAAACATATACATTTACAAGTGTATATATCTTCTATTGATAACACATTTCATGACAAAATTATAATACCCTTCCTCTCTCGCTCTCTCTCTCTCTCTTTCTCTACTTCTTTCTGTCTGTTCTGTTCCTCTTGCTTCTTTTCGAACAAAAAATCCAATGATTGACGACCTTTGGTTCAAGCTTTTGTTTTATGTGCCACTTACCTGGCAGCTGGATGCTGCTGCTGATTCTGCTCCCTCTGCTGCTGCCTCTGCTGTTGCCTCTGCTGCTGCCTCTGCTGCTGCCTCTGCTGCTCCCTCTGCTGCTACTGCTTTTGCTTCTCCATTTCGCTGCCATGCTGTGCATTTGTCCCGCTGCGTATTTGTCGCTGCGTCTGACCCTCTGCCCGCTGGACTTGGACCTGGACCTGGACCCCAGTCTCGGTCGCGACCTCGCCAATTGATGACTCTAAATGGCTTTGGCTGATTCGATTGCCATGTTTCACATCATGTTGCCGTCGCTGGCGAAAGGGGGCTCCATTACATATTACTCGGCACTTTGGCCACTTTTCTGGCACACTGAAGGCAAATTTTTGCCGCTGCACTCGACTGCGACAGTTTCTTATCGAATTTAGTTTTTTTTTTTTTTGCCCCCTTTTTTTTTTTTTTTTTTTTTTTTGTTTTTATTGAGCCCTCTTTGTCGCTTCACTACACACGCACCACCTCACTCTTGACGCATATATATCTGTCTCTTGATGTCTCCTTTTAGTTAGGTTCACTGCGTTCCAGCAAATGTTGACCAGCTAAAAGAAGTAATAGAAAGTAAAACTAAGAGTTAATATTTGTAGTTTGAATAAGTTTTGCGATTGAATAAATATAATAGGCAAAAGCAAGCTGAAAGTTTTAGTCTTAACTCAAGGAATGCCTCTAATATTATTGATTGTTAAAGTGTTTCTGCATACAAAGCTAAATAGTCGAGTATTACAACTAACGAATGCTAATAGTGAAGTCCCCAAATGAATTATTTCAATAGAGATTAAAATAGATAAGAAGCACATATTCTCCGCCTAAATTAAATTTCCAATTTGCTTATTATCATTATTAACATAATTATTATTACCATCAGCATAACTATTTCAATTCCAAGAATTATGTCTGCAAATTTCAGTCTGGTCCTTGACTATTTCGACCTTTGACTACAGCAATACAACATTCTCGCACCCGACTCTGAATTCCTTTGATATCTGCTCTGCCCTTGACTCTGGCGCTGTCTTACAGCATTTGAGGTTTGAGTCCGATTTGACTACAATAATCTCAGTATCTTTTCTTTCGCTCTAGCAATAAAATGAAGAACAGAATCTTTCTATCGCATTCAACATTTTCTCAACCCTCGAACGACAACAAAAACCTTCGATAGAGGACAGAGGACAGAGAGCTGAAGAAAAAACGTCATTTGCAGCTGAGTGCGGCGGCATTCGGATTAGTTTTCAATGCTGGCCAGGCACAAAGCTGATTCAGATGCTTCCGCTTAAACTTTTTAAAGAATGCGAGACCGTTCAAAAAGGGGGAATGGTGGATTACAAACAAAAAAACAAAAAAATACAGAAAAGAGAGAGGAAGCAAAATGGACTTTACTTAGAGCATCATTTTCAGGAACAATGTGCATTGTGTTGTTGTTGCTGTTGTTGTTGATTGTAATTGTAGTTGGCTCATTGGTAATCTCAATTTACCGAAGCTCGGCCAGTAAATGGAAATGCCAAACAATGGGCCAATGGCATCGGCCTTTAGCCAAAGCTTTAAAATGGCCTATCAACAACAATTTGTAGTTCGTTGTTCACGTTAAGAATGGTGGGAGGCTCGAGCTGTTCGAGCCGGGTATTTCACAGAGCAACAATGCGGCGCAACAGCTCTGAGCCACACGCTGCACCCCCCACTCACCCCATTGCGCTGCTGCCCACTCGACATCTTCACAAAATCAGCATCAAAAGCCTGTCGAATGCTTTTCCTTTTTTTATATTTTTTCTCTTTTAGGCTTTTTTTGTTTTCGCTTCAAAGAGACGCAGCAGCAGCAGCAGCTTGAAAATGAGGCACAAGTAAAATTTGCTTCATGCTGCAGCAGCAACAACAGCAGGCAAATGCTGCAAAAACTGCTGAATTACCCACCTACATTCGCACACACACAGAGACACACACACACATACCTGCACACATACAATGAAAACGAAAAATGCTCTGAAGGTTCATTTGTCAATTTGCCATTTGAATTTGTATTTGAGAAATTCACTTGGCCGCTTTTGCGCTTTGTTCTGGCCCCCAGCTTCAGCCTCTCATTCAGAGCGCATCTCACTGTCTCTCTCTCTCGCTATCTCTCTCTCTCGCTCTGACTTGGCTAAGATGCTTTGGCAATGCGGATAATATTTCCTGTGCCAGTGCAGCAGTTGGCAGCGCAATTGCAACAGCAGCACCCTTCAGTCCCTCAGCCCCTCAGTCAACGCCGCCGCCGCCGCCTCTGCCAATTCAAACTGATTTTTTGCCCGCTGCCTTTTGTGGCTGCCACATGCCACACTGTCTGTCTGTCTGTCTGTCTGTCTATCTGTTTGTCTGTTTGTGTGTCTGTGTGTGCCTTACAATCGTCGACAGTTTTATTTGTGCAGCTTTATGAGCACACACACACACTCACATGCACACTTGAAGAGATCCGCAACGGCAGACACTCGACTCGACTCGATTCGACTCGTTGATATATTCATAAATGTAGCACAGTGGGCCGCAAAAGTCAAAAAGCTAATTCAATGGCCAATTGCCAAAAATCTAACAAAATGAAAAAGAGGAAGAGCAAACCAACTGCAGAATATTAAAAAAAATATTATGATAGGATCTCTCTCAGTGGATATGCGGAAAGACTGCTGCAGCCGCAACCTCATAAAGCAAATCAATTAACTGATACTGATCAATTATATGTACGTAGTCAACGTACGCTCCATAAGTATGTGGAATCGAAGATGCCAAGTGCAGGCATATCGACGTTTAGTTGCCGAGCTGTGGAAATCCTAAGCTAAAATCACTTTGCGCTCGGCATTTGGCAGCTGGCAGTTGGGCAGTTGACCTGGCTCAGTTGGGCCAATGCATTGGTCAAATTGCATATACCTCGCATTGTATTCCGTAATTGGATTTCTTTGTACGGCCAACAACAACAACAATTCCAGCAACTACAACAATTTTGCATGGCTGCCATTGTGCCAAAGTAATTAATTTTACTCAAAATTTATAAAGCTAAACAAATGTTGGGAATATATTGAAAAGTTTGCAATTGCAGGCATTCCAATTGGAAAATACCCTACAATTTGACTGTGAATCCTGATCATTAGTGGGGCAAACAATTTTAATTGATTTTTCAGCCTGCAAAAGCTGCAAATTTTTGGCAGAAAAACATTTGCTGTAAGCTGATTAAACGTGATTAAATTTCGTTAAAGAATTGTGCTTCACTGCATAAACTTATTTTATATTTATTTTTTTTTTAATACAAATTGAATTGCAAAAATATTTTACAATAATATATATATTTTTAAATAAACGTAGAAAAACTCGCCGAAATTGATTTCAATGTAAAGAAAATATTGATAAAATCGTTATGATTTTATTCAACTGAAAATGGGAAATTATAAAAATATATGCCGTTATTTATATTTATGAATGATGGCAATTCGCAAAAAAGTCTGAAATATGAATTGAATAAATCGTAAAACTCATATGGATATCAGTTTAAATAGTGTGCAGGAAATCGGACTTTACTAGAATAGAGTTTATTTTACAGGGTATATATATATATATTGCTAGCCAGACAGCCTCATCATATTTCAATAGAACATAAAAGCAACGGCTAAAAACAATGCCATTCATTTATGATTTTCTCAGTTATGCGTGAAATGAAATCCACAGAGATTTCCGAATCTTAAAAACTTTTCTGAGCTGCCTTACATACATACATAGAGTATATATGTATATATGAGCTGTTATGAAAGACGTTTGAAATTAATATTGACATGTGCGGAAGATGAAATATTAATTGGCATTTGAGACTGTTTCGCCCAGCAGACGCTTGAGATGTTTTCCAATTAAATGCATGCAGGCAACGAGGCGTATACTTAACTTAATTAATTCATATACAATTACATTGTATGCTGCACTTATTGCAATTACATATGCGTAATCAGAAACTATTTTCAATTTTCGCTCTTTAGTCTAGACCTTGTGTAAAGCTCTCGCCTCATTAGCTTCAACTTGTGAGCTGCAACTGAAGTGTAATCAGGAATTTGGGCTGAGTTTGTTTGCCAAGAGATGGCTAAATAAATCTAAAGTGCAAATTGATAATTGTTGGTTTAATTGCTGTTGACGTTACTTAAATGAATATATTTATTTATGTAACAATTACCAATGAAATATGTATTATTAATAAAATATATAAACAGTTCATACAAGTACAGATATATTTTTAAGTACAAACGATTTGTATTATAGCTTTGTATATTTTATACATATTAAATAGCCTTAATAATATTGACTTCAATAAGGTCATAAGGCCATCGGGTATGTGCAACTTTAAAGTACTCATTAAAGCTTGACTTGAACAGCAGGAAAAGAATCGAATTTTCTTCGATATGCTATTAATCAAAGTATGGTTCGAATAATTCCAAGTTCTCTTGATTGCCGATGTTACGACTCTAGGGTATGTATCGGTCATATCTTTTGACGCCTTTATACGATAATCAATCGTAAATATATTTTAATTTATATATTATATATCAATTCCAAATCTATAAACAGATCGACAGTCAGCCAATATACTCGTCTCATTTCTTGCGCCGGTATAAACAAGTATTTATCTCAAATCACATCTCTAACACTGACTTGTGCCTAAATGCTTTTTGGCGTAAGCCGATGCTCAGCCATTTATTGGACCGCTTAAGTCAATAGCGAGAGGGACGAGTGCGTGTTAGATGATTCTTGGAATTTGGTTATCGCACTGGTTTCTTTGATGTGGCGGGGTAAGGTGCTAACCACTCGGTTACAAGGTATTCTTTGGTGATAAACAAAACAAATCGTAAAATTCAATTGGATGAACCTGTCTCGCCTCAGAGTGCTGCAAGCTGTTGGCCTTGAAAAGTTCTGATTTTTCTTTTAGTCTGTCGACATGGAAAACAGAGGTCAAAAGCCAGCATTTTTATTTTCTTCTCTTATTGAATATTATTTACATGCGCAATGCGAATGTGTCAATAGATGGGACTCCAAAGAAAACAATCAAGTTTATTTTTAAAACTGTTTGATGAGCTCTGCTTTAATTTCAGACAGACTTTGGGTCAAGGGATTTCATTGTCTATGGCATTTTTTGTAAATTGAATGTCTAATGTTTCATAATCACTTCAATGTCATAGGACAATTGAGATGCTCAAAGAGATGGCGGTGTAAATTTAGAATCATGTTTTGGTATGTTTAATTTTAAAAGAATTTCTAAAATTTAGGCAGAAACCTATAAGACATGAGTAGATTTTTATTTATATGAAATATACACATATTTCAAATATTTATATGTAGATAATATTATATAAAATACTTTAAAAAAATATGTAATATAAAATATAAAAAAAAAAAAAAAAATCCAAAATGTATTTATCCTAAAATTTGTTTATTAATTGCTTTACAAACACGTATTGTGTTTACCATTAAATTTGGTTGCTTAACATTTATTGTTCGTAGTACTATTTTCATGAACACGACTGTATATGTCATAGGAAAGTCAGAGCTG